TAAATTAACTTTCCTGATATATTGTCAAAGGCTTTTTTAATAGACTTGTATCACTATTGAATACTTTAAACACATCCAAAATAACATTTGCAATCCATCTGAAAAGTATTTCATACATAATGGAAATTTTTACTTACACCAGTTTTTCCACTCCCAGTTTCTGCAGCCTGTGTAGAAAAGAGATTTTATACCTCAAAAGGATTATTCATGTCTGAGTGATTAAAGATTTAATGCTTTCTTATTATCAAAATACATGAAGAAACATATAATCTATAGCAGAACACTGGTATACTGATATATGCAGGCATATTTCAATTAACAAAGCCTCTATCAAAGAACTCTTTTTTACAAGTGTTTTATGGCTAGATTTTTCCCCAGAAGCACCAGCATTTGGAGGATGGTGAATAAGAGCTAGATAAATACAGACTTTCAATGCCAGATTGCAATTAAGCATGAACTGAGAAATAATGGGATTCAATGTTAATCAACCCTCTTGTAGTTATGCACATGCCCACAACAGGCAAGGTAAGCAGCAGCTGGTTCTTGAAAGCCTTACTGAATACAAGCTGTCCCAAAGTTGCAAACATCTGACCTACAGAACCTATCTGGTTCATAACTTGGGGACTCCTTGTATATACAAAAAGCAAAACAGAAAGGATACTGGGAAACAAATAATTCCATATCACCAGTTCCACCCAGCATATAAAAAGGCATAGATCAGTGAGTGTGACCATCAACAATTTTTTACTTATGTTAGTTTGCATAAAAGCTTTGCTCATGCATATTGAACTACTCCTTTTTAGTGATGTAGGAACCAATCTCTTTTTTCCATGTTATTCCTGCCTTTTGTACCACATTTTATGTTTTAAAAGGGAATGCCAAGGAACATGTGTACTTCAATAACTGAAATACATACTGCAAAAGTGAATACAGCTATTAACAAGAGTAATAAAATACAGAAACACATTAACTTGAAAGGAGTAGTAATTTAAGCATTTCAGAGCAGAAATGCTGCTAAGGCATAATCTTCCCAAATACAGAAGGTTTAGAATAGTAATTTGAAAATATACATTTTGCCTTACTGAGTTTCTCCTAATAACTTGAGTACACAAAATCTAATTTTCTCCTTATGTTCTTAAAAAATGTAATGCGTAGTGTATTTTAAATAAATTTCTAAGCAGCATTACTGCAGTGTCCCAAACATGTAATAACAATGATACACATGCAACATTTGTATTACATACAAAGAAAATATTTGTTAGAAGACAGAAGAAAACTACTAAGTGGTTTATAATCTTTTAACAATGTGATCCTATGCAGTATTAGGGAAATTGTAAATCACAAACACTGATAGTAAGATAAATAATCAACACATACCATTAGAACATCACCGCCTCCTAAAATTAAAGGAATAGATTCTGCCTGGATATCTGTGGGAAGACTATTGGGAAAAAAATAATGAAAATCTCAAATTTTACCAGGTCACATTAAACAGTAGTTCATTCAGACATTTTTTCTGGCTGCTTTTAAATTGCACAAAGCTGTAGTAAAGAAATTCTATTTATAAAAGTAGGAACAAAAATGTATGTGCACATTACAGAATGACTTACTGGTATTTTTCATCTACAAAAGCAGAAATATCTGGACTATAAAATGTTCCCACTGAAGTGTGGCAACAGTTCCATAATCACTGTTTGGACGATCATACTCAATTAGGATTTATACGTGCCTCTCTATAGTTCAAGGGGAATGACCATACTTACAGCCAGTCCATCTCTTCTACAGCTTGAGCTATCTCTGGCATAACACCCATTTCTGTGAATAAAAATCAAAGTATTGGGAATCTGCATAAGAAATTGCTTCAAATGTAGAATGGATCCTTGACATCCACTGAGGATACATACTGTGGATACAAAAACCTATGGATGCTCAAATCCCCAAAGACAAAACGGCAAAATCAGGCTTTGGGACTTTTCTGGGGGAGAGTGATATTGTTAAGCGGTGGGTGGTAGAACCTGTGGATACAGAATTTGTAGACACATAGGGACTAATTGTGCCTATCCTGATGGGAAATAATTTGCAGGGCATAGCTGGTCTTTATTAAGACTATGGGCCCTTCTGATCAGACATATAACCCAGAATATTATGGCAGAAAATCCCACAATGTCTGCTTTGAGCTAGAATATATAGCAGTGTGGACTCAGTCCAAAGCAGATATTGTGGGATTTTTTGTCTTGATATTCTGGGTTACATGGCTGTATGGCTGCCCTAAAACATTATATAACCAATGTGAAACTGAAGACCACATCCATAGGTTGAGGATCTTTAATGTTCATATATCGCGGTGTTCTGTTAAAATTGTCCACACGCTTGTGGATTTCAATGGCTTCTCTGTGTAGTCTGACATGGTGGTTGTTGGTGTGGTCCAGCATTTCTGTGTTCTCAAATAATATGCTGTGTCCAGGTTGGTCCATCAAATGCTCTGCTATGGCTGACTTCTCAGGTTGAATTAGTCTGTATTAATATTATCGTTTAAGTACTGAATAAACTAAAATTAAAAAGATTGCTATATGTTACTTGATGGCACTCTTTCCCCAGAGTGATTCCTCAACAAAGGGTGCATCCGAATTAATGGAGTTTGACACCACTTTAACAGTCATTTCCACTATGTAATGGATCCCCGGGTTCTATAGCCTTGAGCCATGGAAGTTAAAGTGGTGTCAAACTGCATTAATTTGACAGAGTAGATTCCTAAGGGCCCTTCCACACAGCCCTATATTCCAGAATATCAAGGAAGGAAATCCCACATTATCTGAGTGTGGACTCAGATAACCCAATTCAAAGCAGTTAATGTGGGATTTTCTGCCTTGATATTCTGGGATATAGGCCTGTGTGGAAGGGCCCTAAGGCGACAGCAAAACCTGGGAAAGGACGTCAGATATGCTGGGCGCAAAAGACTGACGGCCAACAGTGATCAGGCTCCATCTGCCAAGCCTGAGATTGGCAGATGGAGCCTTCGTTTCAAGTGGGGGAGGCCCGAGCCCCTTCTTCAGCCAAGACGGGTCCCATTCCAGGCCCCTGTCCTCCAGAAAGAAGGCTCCCTCCACCCCCGAAGCCTGTCTTTCCTCCCTCCCTCATCAGAACCGGGAGAGACTCCTCTTTCCAGCCCTCCTGCCCGGTGCCACGTACCCGAGAAGGCCGCCATGCTTGCGCCTTGGCAGAGAAAGCCGACTCGGCAGGCCTGCCTTCAGTGGCTAGTGGTAGAGCGCATGCGCACTGCGGGTGCATCTCTTCCTGTCTCCGGTCCGCGCTGCACCCAGCGAGGAAGGTTCCGCCGAGGGAGGCTGTAAAGCAGTGCATGGTACAATGGCATCGCGTGTCAGGCATTCTCTTTCGTCATTTTCACAGTCACTAAACTGAATCCTGCCTGTTCTTATTTTCAGGAAATAAATACTATTGTCTGATGTTCTGCTGGCTTATGGAATTGTGGAAGTTGTTTTGCAAATACGTACTGGAGAGAGTTTAATAACAGTGTGATGCAGCAGCTAAAAAACCCAATGGGATTTTGGGCTACATCAAAAGGAGTACAGTGTCTAGATCCAGGGACGCCATGGTGCATCTCTATTCTGCTTTGGTCAGACCTCACCTGGAATAATACTGTGTCCAATTCTGGGCACCACAGTTTAAAAGAAATGTTAACAAGCTGGAAGGTGTCCAGAGGAAGGCAACTAAAATGATCAAAGTTCTGGTGACCATGAATCCCTATAAAGAGTGTCTTAAAGATCTGGGCATGTTTCACCTGCAGAAGAGAAGGTTGAAAGGAGACGACATAGCCATGTATAAATATGTGAAAGGATGTCACAAGGAAGAGGGAGCAACTTGTTTTCTGATGCCCTTGAAACTAGGGTCCCTTCCACACAGCTGTATAAAGCCCCACATTTTCTGCTTTGAATTGGAATATATGGCAGTGTGGACTCAGATAACCCAGTTCAAAGCCGATATTGTAGGGTTTTCTGCCTTGATGTTCTAAGTTATATTGCGGTGTGGAAGAGCCCTAGGACTTGGAGCAATAGATTCAATTGATTCCACCAGAACAGGTCCGTAGTCGGGGGGGGGGGGGGGGTTGGGGGGCCTCCCCCCCCCCCGAAATTTTCATGGTGGACCACGAGAAGGCCTTACTGGTGCATTATTTAAACTGTTATGTTTATTCATATCATGATCTGATCACCATACTCAATATATCCCATATGCATGGGGGCATTGGGATAATGATACAAAAGGTTTGCTAGGGTAGATCCTGAGCCCTCCAGAATCAAACTCACCCCCCTCCTCTCAAATCAAAATCCTGGCTATGGGCCTGCACCAGAACATTAAAGAACTTCCTGACTGTAAAGAGCTATTCAGCAGTGGAACCGAACTCTCTGCCCCAAGGTGTGAGTGAAGCTTCTTGCTTAGAAGCTTTCAAACTGAGGCTGGATGGCCATCTGTCAGATGTACTTTGATTGTGCTTTTCCTGAATGGCAGGGGGCTGGACTAGATGGCCCATGTGGTCTCTTCCAACTCTAGTATTCTATGATTCTAGAACACTATTTCAATCAACAGTTTTAATCCTACTTCTGCATACTCGTGGTTGGTGGCTGAGGCAATTATTTGATTCCAGAAGTGAAAATAGAATGAAACTATTTCCAGTGGTACTTTCTTCGTGTCAACCAGCTGCTAATTAAAACACAATTAATTAAAAATAATTAAAATTAAAAAATAATTAATTAAAAGCACAATAAAACAAACAGAATAATAATAGTTAAATTAATTAATAAAGCATAATCAAGTTCGATTTTTTTAAAAAAGATAATGCAATTGGAATCTGGCTTATATGGGAGTTCAGATCCAGCCTTAGAGAGAAAGCAAGAGAAGAAGAGGAGAAAGGCCTTTGGAGAAAGGTGCTGCTGTTTCAAAAGGCGCGCGGGGAAACTTTGTTCCCGTGAAGCAATTTGGCCCCCGCCGGCCGCCGTAGCAGCTGTGAGTTGTGCGGTCTGTAGGGCTGCGATCATGGCTGCTGCTGCTGGTAGTGCTGACGCGGGGGCAGAGGGAGGAGAAGCAGCAGCAGCAGCAAGCGATGAGGAAGGGGAGGAGGAGAACATCCTTTACGACTTGCTGATCACCACGGAGTGGCCTCCGGAGACTGAAGTGCAGGTGAGTCTTCCTGCCCAGCAGCAGCAGCCCTCCTCTGACATAGCCACGTCGCAGGAGGGAGGGAGAGAAGGCGCATCCACACTGTAGAATTAATACAGTTTGGTACCACTTTAACTGTCCTGGCTCAATGCTGTGGAATCCTGGGGGCTGTAGTTTAACAAGGTCTTGAGCCTTCTCTGCCAAAGAGTGCTGGTGCCTCAGCAAACTACAAATCCCAGAATCCCATAGCATGGAGCCATGGCAGTTAAAGTGTGGGGCTGTAGGTGACGAGGCACCTTTCAAGGGAATCCAACAGTAGCACTCAGCTAAAGGCTGCCTATCCTATATTCCAAGGCCATAACAGGAATCAGCGTAGGGTGCATCAACACTATACAGTTCATGCAGCTTGACACCACTTTAATAGCTGTGGAGTTTGGGGAGCTGTAGTTTTACAAGTGTTTTATCCATCTCCGCCAAAGACTGTTGGTGCCTCACTCAAACTAAGACTCCCAGGATTTCGTGGCACTGAGGCCATGATGGCAATTAAATTGGTCTCAATCTGTGTTAGTTGTACACTGTGAATGCACCCTACAATAATAATAATAATAATAATAATAATAATAATAATACCAGTGGTGATCAGCACACTGGGTGCAGTGCCTAAAGACCTTGACCTGCACTTAAACACAATTGGCGCTGACAAAATTGCCATCTGCCATCTGCAAAAGGCCACCTTACTGGGATCTGCATGCATTATTCGCCGATACATCACACAGTCCTAGACACTTGGGAAGTGTCCGACGTGTGATCCAATTCAACAGCCAAGCAGAGTGTCTGCTGTGGATTCATCTTGTTGTGTTTCAAATAATAATCTATATAAATAAAAATGTAATGTTCGTTTGATTAACTTAACTAAAAAACCACTGGAAGAATTGACTCCAAATTTGGACACAATACACCTATCAGGTCAATGAATGACCATGACTCATACAAACACTGAATAACATAGCGGAAGGGACTTAAAAAGCCAAAAAAACAAAAACAAAAAAACAAACAAAAAACCCTACATTGCAATACATGTGCAAAACCACTTATATACACAAACACACATATATACACATATACCCAAATACGCTGTCTCGCACACACACACACACGCAAACACATGTATACACATATACACAAATATATACACACATAAAACACATGTACACAGATGTGGCAGGGGACAGCTAATAATAATAATAATAATAATAATAATAACAATAATAGTTTTATTTCTTGCCCGCCTCTCCTCATGGCTTGAGGTGGGTTATAGCTTTACTACAACATAAACAAACATATAACCATTTTAAAACACTTGGTAAAATACAAATATTAAAACATACCTTGGCAAAAGTATGATAGCTGGGACCCTACGCTATGCTTCTTGTGCAATGCAGGTCAGAATTAATTAAAGGAAGACTAGCGCAGCACGGGTTAGAAGGTCGGGGGACAACAAACGGCCAAGCATTGTGCTTAAGGCGAGTGAAGTAATGTTAGAGTTATTTACTGTTAAATGATAAACAATGGCTTACGAAGACAGTAAATGGGATAGAAATGTTTCCTCTCCCCTTTTCTGGCGAACAATGTTCCCATGACTCTGATGCAGCTGCGTCTCTCACTTGCTGCGCTGTCTCACGCATGTATTCCCCTCATTAATTCAGACCCGTGTTGCGCAACCAGTGTAGGGTCCCAGCTATCATACTTTTACCCATACCTTCATAAACTATGTATCAAAATACACAAAACAAAAACAAGACATAGAGTGGGGTTTAAAATTCATCATTAAATTCACCTGTAAGTCCATGGATTCCGTTGCTGAATGCTAGACCACTTCTGAATGTTCCTTGCCTAAGAGAACTTTTTTATATTCATTAGATCCCCATAAGTCCACAAGCAGTTTGAAAGTACATACATACATGCATGTCCTATGGAGGCCTCAATACGCTGAAGGCACTGGATCTTGGAAGCTATGCAGGGTCCACCCTGGTTAGTATTTGGATGAATACCATAGAAAGGAATTGACAAATTCCTTGCCTAAGAAAGCCCAATGAAGCTAATGGGGTTGCCATAAGTCAACAGCACCCACATATATATATGCACATACAATTAAGTCAGTGTGCCACATCTAGTCTGATCTTGGAACCTAAACAGGGGCAATTACAATGAGTAGTTGGACGGCAGACTGCCAATGAATGAATATTAGGTACTACAAGTTATATTTCAGAGGAGGGAATTGGCAAAACCACCCTGTCCTAGAAACCCAGGCACACAAAGGCCAAGAATTGTTTCATTCAATCACAGTTTTGGTTTTGTGTCTCAAGAGTAATTGTTTCTGACCTTAAACATAATTATCATGCATGTTAACTTCAGAAAAAGTTATTTGAAAACTTGAAACAGAAAGCTTTACATACCTTACTTTGCTATTCTGTGAGCAAGTGATGTCATTCATATTCTTAGGAGGAAAAATAGATGATAAACACTGAACTAACATTTGCAGTCGCAAGACCATGTATAGTTTTTCACGATGTCCCACATAATTCTCAAGTGTTATGGTAGTTTGAATATTATTCAGCTATCATATGAACCCTTCTGTTTCCTTTGGAGGATGATATAGCATAAGCCAAACTGAAAATGTCCATGGGCCTAGTAGAGGAAATAAGGTCTGGAGAATTGATGCTGTAGGACAGATCTTTCCAAACTGTGTTAGTGTATATCAACTGCAGTGTGTAGGTGTTTTACAAAAATGTAATTCGAAACCTCTGAGGCTCCTTCCACACAGCCATATAACTCAGAATATCAAGGCAGATAATGTACACTATCTGCTTTGGATTGGGTTATCTGAATCCACACTGCCATATAATCCACTTCAATGTGGAGTTTATACAGCTGTGTAGAAGGGGCCAATATTTGTTTTGAACTGGGTTATCCAAGGCCCCTTCCACACAGTTGAATAAAATCCCACATTATCTGCTTTGAACTGGAATATATGGCAGTGCAGACTCAGATAATCCAATTCAATGCAGATATTGTGGGATTTTCTGCCTTGATATTCTTGATTATATGGCTGTCTGGAAAGGCTCAGAGTCCACACTGCCATATAATCCAGTCCAATGTGGATTTTATACAGCTGCATGGAAGGGTCCTGAGGGCCTTTTCACTTAGCCATATAATCCAGAATATCAAGGCAAATAATCCACAATATCTGCTTTGAACTGGGTTATCAGAGGGCCCTTCCAAACAGGCCCTATATACCAGGATCTGATCCCAGGTTTTCTGTTTATCCCAGATTATCTGACAGTGCGGACTCATATATTCCAGTTTAAAGCAGAAAACCTGGGATCAGATCCGTGGATATAGGGCCTGTCTGGAAGGGCTCTGAGTCCATCCTGCCATATAACCCAGGGCCCTTCCATACAGTCCTATATCCCAAAATATCAAAACAGAATAGCCCACAATATCTGCTTTGAACTGGGATATCTGAGTCCACACTGACATATATCCCAGTTCAAAGCAGAAAATGGATTTTGTTCAGGTGTGTTCAAAACAAATGTGGGATTTTATACAGCTGCGTGGAAGGGCCCTGAGTCTGTATCATATAAGCAGTACCACTCTATGCTTGATGATGAAATGCGAGCGTCTTTATCTAATATTCCACCAAATATTCAAAAACTGTCCAACTCAACAACCTCATCCACCTCTATTCAAATGATAAGTTATTTTACTGTTATATTTTTTAATCCTACAATTTAAAATTTGCCAAAAATGCTAAGCTTGGAAATGTATGTTATTATCTTACAAATCAGAGCCCCTGGCAGTGCAATGGGTTAAACCCTTGTGCTGGTAGGACTGGTCGACCTACTGGTTGGTGGTTTGAATTCGGGGAGCGGGGTAAGTTCCCGTATGTCGAGCTCCAGCTTCTCATGCGGGGACATGAGCGAAGCCTCCCACAGAATGGTAAAACAGCAATCATCCGGGCATCCCCTGGGCAACATCCTTGCAGACAGTGAATTCTCTCACACCAAAAGCGACTTGGAGTTTCTTGAGTCACTTCTGACCTGAAAAAATTCTTACAAATCATATATATTTAAAAATATAAATGAAAAGTTTTCACGATTTGCTGCCTCATCACACTAGAGCAGTGGTTCTCAACCTGTGGGTCCCCAGATGTTTTGGCCTTCAACTCCCAGAAATCCCAACATCTGGTAAACTGGCTGGGACTTCTGGGAGTTGTAGGCCAAAACACCTGGGGACCCAAAGGGTGAGAACCACTGCACTAGAGAATGAATCCACTTTAAACTGCTGCATCCTACAGAATGTTGGGGTTTGTAGTTTAGGGAGGAGCCTTTAACATTCTCACTAAACTACAAACCCCAGAATTCTACAGGTGGCAGATATTTAAAGTGTATTTATTCTTTAGTATGATGAAGTAGATAGTTGTGTCCCCATACATGTCCCTATTGCAATTTATGTATCTGCCCATATCTCTTATAAGGGGTTGGTTTAATCTCCAGTTTTCTAGTAAAACTGAATTACTGTGTCACTAAATGACTAAAAATTGTCTAAAAATTATATCCCCAACAAAAAGCTGTGCTGAAGAAATTGGCAAAACCGCCTCTGAGTATTCCTTGCCTAAGAAAACTATAAAATTCACGGGATTGTCATAAATCAGTAGGCAACATGAAGGCACATATATGCAAATCAAGATGTATGTATATCCTATTGATTGATTGGATGTAGGACATTGTGATTAGGATTTCATGAGAACATCATGCTATTGTGGAGAAGTTCACTGAAGGTTTTTCACTTGATCCCAGATTGATCCAGATGTGGTCTGTTTCAGCAGAGTGGCGACAGGTTTCTCATGTAGAAATGATTGTGGCTCTCCACAATTATTTAGTTAAATAACAAAATTCTTCTCTTCTCTCCTCCTCCAGTGGAAACCTTTGCAGAGTTGTGGTTGCATTATCCAGAAGTTGAATGTGAAGTTCAGAATGGTTTCCTAAACATGAGCAAGGCTTTTATTCTGATGCCTTGATATTCATGAGAGAAAATAGAACATTACGTTATATGTTCTGCTTTTCTTAAGTATATAAAGGCAATCTGAAGTGAAGACTTATGTACTGAATTCTGCACAAAGCTCACTCAGAGAGTTTAGTGTACAAGGACACTATTAAGTTGCAAACAAAATAATCTATTTACATTTTTACAACTTTCAGAGCTATACTAAAACCATGCAGAGACAATAAACTATGTTCAGTTTAACAGCAATGCTAGAAAAAGGTCATAACAGAATTCAAATGTCTAACTTAGAGTTGTTTTCCCCCCCTGTCTTCCTTTTTAATCAGCAGTTTATGTGATGAATTGAATAGTGGTTTATTTATTTATTTTTAGACTTTGACCTATAAGTTCAAAGGCTCCTCATGTTGGAAATATTCAATCCACTACATTTGGGAGGAGGGATGTTGAGTTTTTAAATGTAATTTTAAATGTATTTGATTGCATTTTAACTGTATTTTAGCATTGCACCCTTGACACAAATATTTAATGTTTTTTCCCTCTATTTGCTACGTTTTTATTTATTTGCTTTATTTCTATACCGCATTTTTCAGCCCAGTCAGGCGACTCAATGCAGTTTTAAATTTTATTGAGTTGTGTTATGTTATTGTTAGCTGCTTTGAGTCCCTTTGGGGAGAAAAACAGGATCGAAACAATGATAATGATATTGTCGAAGGCTTTCATAGCCGGAATTACTGAGTTGTTGTAGGTTTTTTCAGGCTATATGGCCATGTTCTAGAGGCATTCTCTCCTGATGTTTCGCCTTCATCTATGGCAAGCATCCTCAGATCTCACAACCTCTGAGAATGCTTGCCATAGTTGCAGGTGAAATGTCAGGAGAGAATGGCCATAGCCCGAAAAAACCTACAACAACCCAGTGATGATGATGATGATGATGATGATGATGATGATGATAGTTATTATTATTACCCGTCTCTCCTTTTGACTCAAGTTGGGGCACATCATAGTAAAATACATCTATAAAATCCCATATTAAAAGATAGCTAACATGCAACCATAAAAGCCTATATTAAAATATTCGCATATTAAAATACCTGAGATGAGCTCTAGCCACAGCCTTCAGGCTCACAATATTTCCTTAAGGGTATTTGTTCGTTTGTATTTGTATTTTACTAAATCAGCATAAACAACTAATCTGAACTTTTGGCAAAAATCAAATCTTCTTGGAATTAAAGAAATGTGAGCCCTGTAATTTCTTTCGACTACCAGGATTCAGAGTTCTTACACAACACACACACAATTCATCCCTAGTTACCCAAGTATGTTTGTGGGGAATGGTGTCATAGAACATTAGGGAGTCAGAAATCTTTGTGAATGTAATATATGCTTTTCAACTTCTTTCTGCCCGCCTATGTGTTGTTATTGTTGTTGTTATTGGTACTATTCCATTGTCAGGCGTAGGCCAAAAGGAGTTGCTAGACAGAGAAGGATAGTCCATTATAGTGCACTATTGCGGTGGCTCTGATAAATACAACCCAAACCAGATCAGTCTATTTTTTTCCTTTTTCCTTTTCCTGATGCTAAAGTTTTTGCTTCTTAGGATCCTGTTTAAATTTACCTATTATGCATAACTGTAGCAGTCAGTAATGAACCCCCGAGTGACTCTGGCATGAAATCTCTGTGTTGTTGTTATGTGCCTTCTAGTCGTTTCCGATTTATGGCAACTTTATCATAGGGTTTTCATGGCTGAATGGGGGTTCGAACGCTAGTCTCCAGAGTGCTAGTTTAATGCTCAGATCACACCATGCTGGTTCTGTGTGTTTGATTCTGCATATAGGAAGTTGTCATATTTTGCCGCTTGTGACCTTATTACATCTTTTGGATTCCTAGTGCCATTTCTTTAAGCATCAGGGGAGCCCTGCCTTGGCTTGGGACTGTTGCACATGCTGAATTGCTCACCTGCAAAACTCGTTCTGAAAATGCCCTTAGAGCTGCAGTCAAAGTAGAATTTTAAATAGTTGCTCAGCCCGACGGATAATTCATAAACTCCTTTCACTTGGAAAGCTGGGGAATAACAGATTCAGTTGCTGCAAACTCACTCCCTTCTTGTAATTTGCAGCCAAGAGGCAACCGAAAGCACGGAGCATCATTTATCATCACTAGAGCAATTACAGGTAAATATGCATGGCTTGTCCTGATGGATTGCTTAGTGGATCTCACGTGGCTGAAATGAATGGGGTGTGAATTCATTGGAATTGTTTATACAATTTGTTATCTGTTATCATATACCTGTTGTTCTGGGGGCCAAGAACAACACGTGTTGCATAATAATTATTGGGAAGTGCATCCTTCTTCATGCTCCTTAATTTATCTTCTCTGTTTTTCCCGACAAGATTATATCCATTTCATCCATATAAGTCTTCTGTCTCTTGTTGGATGTTCCTGAAATCTATTAACAATTTCCTGTACATTCAAAGTGTATCATATAAGAATGGGCAGTTTGTTGATATTAAGTCACAGTAGCAATATTTATTATGGGTTAACATTGGACTTTGTACCTTACATTTGTGACCCATTCACACTTTGTGTAATCTATATATATAAATTTGTTAGGGGCATCCAATGAGGAAACAAAACTCAAAAACCCCCCAACGAAACTTAACCAAAATTCCCATGCCCATAACACAACCCACAAGGTACAAACATATCTACTCAAAATGAAAAACAACACAACAACACCCTCACAAAACGGCAAAACAACAAAACTCAAAAATCCCCCAACGAAACTTAACCAAAATTCCCATGCCCATAACACAACCCACAAGGTACAAACATATCTACTCAAAATGAAAAACAACACAACAACACACTCACAAAACGGCAAAAGGATAAAACTCAAAAAAAACCCAACGAAACTTAACCAAAATTCCCATGCCCATAACACAACCCACAAGGTACAAACATATCTACTCAAAATGAAAAACAACACAACAACACACTCACAAAACGGCAAAACAAGCATCCCCCAACGAAACTTAACCAAAATTCCCATGCCCATAACACAACCCACAAGGTACAAACATATCTACTCAAAATGAAAAACAACACAACAACACACTCACAAAACGGCAAAAGAATAAAACTCAAAGAAACCCCAACGAAACTTAACCAAAATTCCCATGCCCATAACACAACCCACAAGGTACAACATATCTACTCAAAATGAAAAACAACACAACAACACACTCACAAAACGGCAAAACAACTGAGCATGCTCATTGGCGCCCAGCCGCAAGTTCCCTGGCGCGCGCACATGCCCTTCCGGCCAACGTTCCCTCTGCGGAAACCATGCCCACTCCAAGCCCCGCCGCGCCGCTTCCCGTACACACACACACCCCTGCCGCACATACACACACAACCCCACACTCCATCACTCCCCCCGCCGCTGCACACACACACGCAACCCCACTCCCCCCGCCGCCGCACACACACACGCAACCCCACACTCCATCACTCCCCGCGCCGCACACACACACGCAACCCCACTCCCCCCGCCGCCGCACACACACACGCAACCCCACACTCCATCACTTCCCCCGCTGCCGCACGCACACACGCAACCCCACTTCCCCCCGCCGCCGCACACACACACGCAACCCCACACCCCATCACTTCCCCCGCTGCCGCACGCACACACGCAACCCCACTCCCCCCGCCGCCGCACACACACACGCAACCCCACGCTCCATCACTCCCCCCGCCGCACGCACACACGCAACCCCACTCCCCCCGCCGCCGCACACACACACACAACCCCACACTCCATCACTCCCCCCGCTGCCGCACGCACACACGCAACCCCACTCCCCCCGCCGCCGCACACACACACGCAACCCCACGCTCCATCACTCTCACCGCCGCCGCACGCACACACGCAACCCCACCCCCCCCCCCCCACCCACACACAACCCCACGCTCCATCACTCCCCTGCCCCAATCTTACCTCCTTTTACTTCACGCCACCTCCAAATCCCACCCCGCCCCTTCCCGCCCTGTCAAAATCCAGGAAAGACAGGAAGGAAGGAAAGAAGGAAGAAAGAGAAAGGGAGGTAAAGAAAAAGGGGGAAGGAAGGAAAGTTAGAGAAAGAAGGAAGAAGAAAAGGAAAGAAAAGGAAAGATGGAAGGAAAGGAAAGAGAGACAGCAGAAAAGAAAGAAAAAGGGGGAAGGAAGGAAAGAGATAGAGAAAGAAGAGGAGAAGGAAAGATGGGAGGGAAGGAAGGAAGGAAGGAGGGAAAGAAGGAGAGAAAGAGGGAAGATTGGCCACAGCAACACGTGGCGGGTAAAGGTTGTTATTTCTATTATTATTATTATTATTATGCTATTGTTCCTATGAGACCCTGGAGGAATGGGAGAGGTGTCAGGTCCCAGAGGCAATGCATTGCATTATTGTTATTGTTATGATGGTGGTAAAATAAAAGGAAATAAAAAGTGAAAGAAGGAAGCAAACAGGGAGGGAAGAAAGGCAAAGGAAGAAAGGGGGAGGGAATGAAGGAAAGAGAGAAGGATGAAACCAAGTAGTGAAAGAAAGAAAGAGGTAGAGAAGGAAGAAAGGAGAGAAAGGGGGAGGAAAAGGGGGAAGGAATAGGTAGGTACCTCTTTCATAATAGTCCAGATATCTACCTCAACTTTGATAAGTTTTACTATAGGCCACAGCAATGCGTGGCAGGGCACAGCTAGTGGTAAATAAAAAAATAAATTTCTGTCAGATCTTGCAGATTATTATTACTATTATTTTGCCTCAGCAGGTGACTTTGCTAAAGCTCTGGAAGACCTTGACTGCTAAAGTGGCCAGGGCAATAATTTGTGAGCATCCTTTCTTATGGAGTAGAGACAAAAATTTCCAGGCATTTGATGGGGGGTGGGTGAAACAAGTAAGATGGAGATTATAGTGATGGCAGAAAAATGAGAGTGGGATCACACGAAACACAAGCCAAGAGCCTATTTCAAAAACTACTTTATGGCAGTGTAGGTAATTTTCACTGCTGCTATTCTATCTGCAAGGAGCCACCCAAAGGAGCTGTTTGGAGTTGACAGAAGTCTATCACATACTGGTCCTCAAGCAAAAGATGTAGACCATTTGACAGGTCTTAACTCACACAATCATAGTCACTTGTTGCAACAGCTCCACTCACCTTGAATCTCAATTTTAGGAGAAAGGGAGATATAAATAAATGTAATACCATTACTAATCAAATCATCCTCAGCAAATCAAACATGCTGCTGGAAGAAGAAAAAGGAAGAGGAGTTTGGGAGGCCATTAATAACGAGAAAACAAGAAGTTTTCTACCTCTTCAATCTATATAAACATTCAGGAAAGAAAGGGAACTATAGTGTCTAGACCATGGAATAACTTGTGGTATAACTTATGCCCTGCTCTTTCACAAGTGTGTGCAGTATACCAGAAGGGGGAAAAACAGAATAGTGTTAGAAAGGTCATAATAAGGGTTTGTGTGGGAGGCCTTATTTGGGAAACACCACGTAACACTATACTCCTTTGGAGAAAATTTGAGAGATTAAAAAAAATCAGACTTCTAAACTTGTTTATGTACAATCTTTCATGCTTCAAATATTATTATCTACCTTTTCTGCCCAACCCAGTGTCCTCAGTAAGAGAAATGAGCAATGAAAAATATTTCAAATTCTTATAGAAGTAAAACCAGCTATAAAAGAATTGGGTTAATGAAGTGTCTACAATGGGCTTTAGAGAATGGTAATCATGGATGATTCCTTTATTTCAATAGTGGGATTGCAGTGGTGGAGAATATAATAAGTTGCAGTTCAACAACATCTAGATGGCCACTCTTGGGAGTGCCTCTGTTCCACATGCATAACATGTTCTTTATTGTGAAATCACAGCCCCGCAGGTATAGTTGAAGAAGAATTCTGTGTGTCCATATTTACATTTCAAGTCCAACAGGCTGAACCAAAAGGAAAGGTATTTAAAATTGTTAATATTGCTAAAATGCTTATCCACTCAATCTGATTTTAGAATCTAAGCAGGTTCAGCCTTGGTTGGTACTTGGATAAGGTGTTGTAGTTATATTAGGAAGACAATGAAAAGCCACCTCTGAGTATTCCTGTCTAAGGGCTCTTCCACACAGTTATGTAATACAGAATATCAAGGCAGATAGTCCACATTATCTGCATTGAACTGGATTATCTGAGTCCACACTGCCATATAATCCAGTTCAAAGCAGATAGTGTGGATTTTATACAGATAGTGTGGAAGGGGTCTAAGAAAATCCTAAGAAATTCAAAGGCTCATTGTAAATCAGCAGGTGACTTGGGGCCACCTACAATTCCCAGAAATCCCAGCTGGTTTACCAGCTGTTTCTGGGAGCTGAAGGACAAAACATCTGGGGACCCACAGGTTGAGAACCACTGACCTATTTCATCCTTATGCTCCCATAGCAGTCAGCCAATGGCCTATGGGAAACTCAAAAGAAGGACAGGGGTGCAATAGTATCTTTGGTCTCATACTGTCCAGCAATGCATATATGGAGGCATACTTTCTCTTACACCCGAGGTGACCAATGGTCATCCTAGAGAGTAGTCATGGAAGCTACACAATCCCCAATTAATTTAGCTAATCCACTTCAGAAAGCTACAAATAGGCAGTTTACAGTACATTTTGAGGCAGTAAATTCAACAGTTGAAGTATATGCTGTATAAAGAAGTACCATTTTTTTCCTTCGTATTCTTCCAATATTCAGCTACTCTAAACCTGAGAGTTACACAGCTTTTACGTAGGCCCAACTGCAACAGCTAACCTCAGCAGAACAAAATAATAATAATAATAATAATAATAATAATAGACTCTGGCACAAACCAGTAAAGGTGGTCCCAGTGGTGATCGGCACACAGTGCCTAAAAACCTTGGCCTGCACTTAAGCACAATCGGCGCTGACAAAATTACCATCTGCCAGCTGCAAAAGGCCACCTTACTGGGATCTGATCGTATTATTCGCCGATACATCACACAGTCCTACACTTGGGAAGTGTCCGACATGTGATCCAATTCAACAGCCAGCAGAGTGTCTGCTGTGGACTCATCTTGTGATACATATAATGATTTACGACACCAGAACAATGTGACATACTGTGACACCTCTGGTGCAGGAGATAGAACCATTTATTTCTTTTCAATTAAAGACATCCTTTCTTTGGACCCCATTTCATGAATGAATTCAATGATCTACTGTTATTTTTTGACAAATAAAAGCACTGAAAATCTCTAAGATTGTAAAACTGTAGATTGTAATCTTATGGGCAGATAACTGTTTTGTTGTTCTTTTAGTTGTAAAGTACTTGGCACAGTCATGCCACTGTCTCAATAAATCATAATGATAAGATGTAATGTCTTGGGCCTCCTGGTGGTCCATCATTTCATTGCATGGATAGCATATGGAGGTTTGAGTATGTACAACACTTAAAAATGGTGGCTTTTGCTTTGTCTGGGTCTGAAGATGATTTCTGGAGCTCTGACACAAAATGTGTGATTCCAGGAGTGAAACAGTCATACATTTTGGCTACTTCTACAGTGTAGGAGCTCCCAGTGAAGAAGTGGGTTAAACCACTGAGCTGCTGAACTTGCTGACCAAAAGGCGGTTTGAATCCAGGGAGCGGGGTGAGCTCCCACTGTTAGCCCCAGCTTCTGCCAACCTAGCAGTTTGAAAACATGCAAATATGAGTAGATCAATAGGTACCACTTCAGCAGGAAGGTAACAGTGCTTCATGCAGTCATGCTGGCCACATGACCTAGGAGGCGTCTACAGACAACACTAGCTCTTCGGCTTAGAAATGGAGATGAGCACCACCCCACAGAGTTGGACACAACTAGACTTAATGACAAGGGGAAACTTTTACCATTACTTTTCAGTGTAGAATTAATGCAGTTTGACACCCACCTTAACTACTGTGGTTCAATGCAATGGAATCCTGGTAATTGTCGTTTTACAAGGTTTTTCACCATCTCTGCCAAAGAGTGTTGCTCCCTCCCCAAATGGCAACTCCCAGGATTCCATAGCATTGAGCCATGGCAGTTAATGTGGTATCAAACTGCATTAATTCTGCAGTGTAGATGTACCCTTTGAGACTTTTCCAAAAAGCTGCAGCCTCAGACCTCAAACATAGGGACCTTTGCCCATTGCCATAATTTGATCATAGTGAGTCCGAATCCAGCCTGCATAGGTTCTGGGGTTTTCCTCTACCTCCCTGTGGAGACAGAAGTATTTCTTCTATTTCTAAGATGAAAAAAAGAAGAATCCCTCTATTATCTCTGATATTTGTGCTTCCTTCTGATATGGTCTTTCATCATCGTGTTCTTGACAGACAGCTGGATAATGTTGGAACTGGATGAGAGTGAATTCCCCCCCCCCCCAACTTTCCATTCAATTATACAATCAATAATTTAAGGAAGCTGAAAATAACAGTCATAAGATTCTATTCCATGTTTTGCTGGTGTGTATGTTTCCCTGAAGAACAAATCCAGATAAAATGTACAAGCAAAATGACATATCCTTCTGGTCCTATCCCTCCAAATCTCTAAATATTTTCTTATTTTATAGGCCCTGTCTTATTTTTACTTCGTTACTTATGGTACAGGTAAGTTATTTTATTAAACAAAAATTGTCATAGGCCTGACTTACATTAGTCTAGAGCACATGAAAGAGAATGATCACAAATTATTGTCTTATCCATCTGATGGCCACAGTAGCAGTTGGTTGCTGGAAGGAATGTCTGGTCTGAAGTTTTACTCTTTGGAAATAGAAATTGATTCTTTGTGCATGTTCTCCTACTGAATTAGTGCCAGATTAAAATATCATTATATAACAGTCTCTTACTTAAATAAATTGTGTGTTCCTGCATAGAAGGGGGTTGAACTGGATGGCACTTGTGGTCTCTTCCAACTCAATAATTCTATGATTCTATTTTGGAGTATGGATCTAATCTGAAAAACGATTAAAGGCAGATAATTGTGTTTTTCGATAGGTATTTCTTTACTATTTATTTATTTAGGATATTTCTACCCTGCCTTTCTCAAACCCAAAGGTGACTCAAGACGGCTTACAACCGGCAGCTATTTGATGCCGTAACAATATACAGTATATAACTTAAAACCAGTCTATAAAATAATACAATAAAAACATTAAAATAATATAAAACAAATGCCTTCACTGTTCATCTCTTTGTCCAAAAAAATATAATCTGAGCCATTCCATAATTCAGTTCCACATAGATCCGTGTTTGTCTATTGCACTGCGTTCCCAAAGGCTTGCTCAAAAATCCAGGTTTTTACTTTCCTCGGGAAGGTCAGAAGAGAGGAAGTGATCTAATATCCCTAGGGAGGGAGTTCCACAGTCGAGGGGCCACCACTGAGAAGGCCCTGTCTTTCGTCTCTGCCAAGTGCACCTGCGAAGAAGGTGGGACCGAGAGCAGGGCCTCCCCAGATGATCTTAAGCTCCTAGATGGGTAATAGGGAGAGGTACTACAATTATCTAGATTTTCCATAAAAAAAGAATATTAACTCTTGAAAAATTAAAGAATGGTAGGATAAAACATGAGGTGAAATTATGTAGTGTGCAAGCAGATACCCGCTCATATGGTGAGACTTTCTCCTTTATCATATCAGATTTTGAATGTGCCAAGATACCCGCTCATATGGTGAGACTTTCTCCTTTATCATATCAGATTTTGAATGTGCCAAGGGGAGGAAGAGAATTGCTTCATTTCCTATTATGCTGATGAATAACATTGTGTCTGTGGAAGAATTTAATTTGATTTAACATTCAAAATAATGCTGTCTTCAGACTAACCAATGACATCTATTCCATATTTGGGGAATATTGTTCCATGTCAAATGTTATGCGGCCACATTTGTGAAAGAGTTGTAAATCCACTCCCCACCCCCACACCACATGAATCTATAACCTGGTCCTCATTAGGTCTTTTCTAACATAATCTTGTGTACCTGTTCCACAATTCTGCTTCTTGAGCTCTTTTACACTCCAACATAAATCTATTTGTGCTTTTAGTCCTGCAAAATCTTCCCTCCCTGTTGGACTCATCCGCCTGGTCAATAAGCAGATCAACTGGCATTTAGTGCTTTCAAGGTAAGAGGCCTCTTGATTTTTCTTTTTGAACACGAGGATTGCTTCCCATCACTTAGGCAAAGGGAAACCTATGTCCTTCTAGAGATTGATCAACTGCCAGTTCCCCAGCTGAACATGAATGGTAGATAAAAAGGAAGATGAAGAGTGTTTGCAGGGTCTCAGTCCTCAGCTCCTGGGAATGGTTCTGGGAATTTGTTCTTAGTAACATCCAAGAAGAGATAATTTACTATTAATAAATGTATATGCTCCTATTCTTACATTTGTATTTTTTTATTATACAGGTCATTGATGCAGGTCACACACACACACACACACACACACACACACACACATATATATATACACACACACACACACACACACATATATATATGCAAAATGTAGAATTTCTGTTTCCCCTATAATCAAAACCTAAATGTGGTTGTAGTTCTGATGGATCTCTGCATCAGCAATTTGCCTGTTTGCAGAATACACTAAGATCCTGTAACCGACACTCATATCTGCATTTTTATTTACCCTAGAAATTTGCTAGATCCTCCAGGTAGTTCTATGGCAAACATTATCCACAAGGTATCACAAAGTTGCATTTGAGGATCTATCAAATAAATTCCTAGAGAATTTTAGAAATCTCTAGGTTCTCCAGCACAACTCTATACAGGGCCGTAGCCAGGATTTTGATTTTTTTTTGGGGGGGGGGGGGGAGTCTGAGTGAAAGAAGGTCTACCCTAGCAAACCTTTTGTATTGTTACCCCAATACCCCCATGCATATGGGATATATTGAGTATGGTGATCAGATCATGATCTGAATAAACATAACAGTTTAAATAATGCACCAGTAAGGCCTTCTCACGGACCACCATGAGAATTTGGGGGGGGGGCTGAAGCCCCCCAAGCCCCCCCCCCCCCAGCTACATGCCTGACTCTATAGTATGCTGGGAGTGGAAGGGTATTTTCATGTGCAGATATGGCTCTCATTTCCAAGATATCTCATTATGATTATGTTCATATGTGCAAATACAGATATTTCAAAATCTGGGGGGGGAGTTCTAAAATTTATACTACTTGTGTTTCCAAGCATTTCACTTAAGGGATCTCAGTCTGTAATATTATTTCTGATATCTTTTTTTCTTGAAATATTTATCCCATCCTTTTTTTTCTCTTCAGCAATGGAAAACTCTTAGCAGCTGTTCAAGACCAATGCATAGAGATAAGGTACGGTAAATAACACAGCAGTCTGGAACATATCTATCCTATTATCATTTTGTGTGAGCAGAGAATTGCAGTAAAATTGGTTTTAATTGGCATGTTTAATTTATTGTTTAATGAATTTGTATAATGCTTTTAAATGATTTTTCCTGTTTTAAATGTAATTTTTGATTGTTTATATGCTGATAACATCATATGATGCCTGTGTGAGGCCGCCCTGAGTCCCCCTTCAGGGGGAGAAGGATGGGGTAGAAATACATGAAATAAATAAATAAATAAAAATAATTCAATCTGGGGACTAGTGCACTGATGCTTTAAACAGAGAATAAGCAACAGCACTATACTTAATGATAAAAATTTGTTGATTGAAATATATATAACATAGTCAAATCAACTGTTTCAGGTCTGCAAAGGATGAGTTTGGGTCTGTCATTGGAAAATGTCAAGGTATGTGACTTTTGATACCCTCGTTATTAACAATGTTAGACCAAAAAGCCACAATATGTTCATGATTCATTATTATTATCTTTGATGGTTACCAGACCCAAAGACTTTGTATTTGTGGGTCAGGGGAAAGAAAAGATGTAATCCACTATCTGTTACATTGCCCTTTGTATAATGACCCCAGAAACAATCTTCTGGGAGCCCTTCTGGAAGTAAGGGCAGCATGGCAACAGTCAGCAGTTATCTGTGACCTGTTGGTAGATTATTCCAAAAATATAACATTAAAGGTTGCCACATTTGCAGTTGCAGCCCATAAAATACGAGCTAAATTTGTAAAGTCCACAGCGGAGGCTAGAATGGAAATTGAAACATTTTGGGATAATACAAATCAGATTTTGTTATTATCTTGCCTACAGGGATTGTCACTACTACCGTAATTTGAAAGAACTAGTTTATAGAATAAGTTTTAATGTTTATATTGGAAAGTGCATGCTGTACTTTTAAAAGTCGTATATTATTGGATGTCATGGCCTATGGGTAATACAACAATCAACTCATTCATTATTATTGTGTTTAGACTGATACTTCATTACCTACCAGAAATGAGCATGTTGAGCATATGTAGAACACCTCCATTGGTAGATTTTCCCAGCATCTATATTAAACTCAGTCAGATGAATAGTTCTTTCTATCAGTAGAAATCTAATTCTCGGTTTCTTTCTTTTGCTCTGAATATTTTCTTTTATTGACAGTTAGCATCCTAATATTTAATGTTTAAGTAAGTGGTTGACTTAGTTTGAGTTCTGATCTGATCTGTTACAATACAAACTTCTAATGTTATCTCTATGATGTTCCCCCGTCAACTTTTTGTTAAGTTAAAAAATAGTTTTAGCTCAGGGTTTAGTTTTAATAGGAGACTTATTTCCTGGTTTTAATTTTGCTTTTTAATAATATACCTGTTCTGGGAGAAAAGTGGGACATTAAAGGGATAAATAAAATCATTGCGAATTCTTAAAAAAAAAAAACCTTTGGAAGAGGAGAGTTGGATGGTTTTGAAAGCTACAAAAGGGATCCTGATTTCTGGGTTGCTGTGAGTTTCCGGGCTGCACGGCCATGTTCCCGAAGCATGCTCTCCTGATGTTTGGCTCACATCTATGGCAAGCACCCTCAGAGGTTGTGAGGTCTCTGAGGATGCCTGCTATAGATGTGTTCCAACAGACCTCACAACCTCTGAGGATGCCTGCCATAGATGTGGGTGAAATGTCAGGAGAGAATGCTTCTGGAACATGGCCATATAGCCCGGAAAACTCACAGCAACCCCGTGATTCTGACCATGAAAGCCTTCCACAACACATCCTGATTTCTCTTTTTCATTTTTATAATCACTACCAACTCTTGCTCTGGCTCTTCTTAGGCATAAACCAAAGTGGAGTTATGGATAGGTAAAAACCTTAAGCAGTTGCACTGCTCTATGGCTCCTAGACAGTCAAGGGAGGGGCAACATGGGAAGAGATGTGGTTCTATTAGGTAGTGATTGCCATGTGCAGCCTCTACACCTAGGGAAGTTTAGAGATAAATAATGTTAGTACTAATGTTAGTATCACTATTTCGTTGGGAAAGCTGGGTCCATTTCAAAGAATGCCTGTTATGTAGCTTATGAAAGAACAACACCAACCATATACAACTTTAGCTCTGGCTTTATTAAAGACAATTCTCCTTCCTACCCCTTTAGTCCCAAAGGATTCCAACCCACAGTGGAGACGTGTAGCATGGAGCCACGACTGCACTTTGCTTGCCTACAGCGAAAGCACAGGAACTGTGAGAGTCTTTGACTTGGTCGGCAGTGAACTCTTGGTCATTTCTCCGGTACTTACTTTTTGCATCAAGATTTTATGTGTTCCATTTTCATGCACATAGAAGCTTCTTGTCTGCCATTTTTAAACATTTGATACTTATATTTAGAGTTTTCCTTGTCAACACTTTATTGCTCATTTTATTGAATACTTATTCAATGAGTTTATTGGTCCATTTGCATTCATTGTCTGCATGATGGTTAATCAAAGCATATTAATTCTACTTATGCCAATAAAGCCACTAATGCTTTGCCGTGAAATTGCTGCTCTTCTTCAAAACTAGCTGCTACACACAATAATAATAATTGAGTACCTGGACTAGTATGCTTGCATTACAACAAAGATTTGTTTTCCTCTGGTCAAAAGTCTTGTCACTTAATCAGTATATTTTATTGAATCATAAATACGCTAAGAAGGCTTTTTAATAGACTGTTTATCACACAGTTGTCCCTTTTTTAAAGTTCAGAGGGGACAATTTCTAAAAGGACCTCTGTAGGTTTTGGAAAGACATTCTTAGTTTGTTCGAAGTCATATCATTATTACATCATTGAACAAATACCTGTATAGTGATAGAATTCAAAGATATTCAGTGAGCCATAGCTGCTTTGTCTAAAAATTATAGTTTGTCTTCACCTGTTCCTCAGCCCACCTTCCCAAGCTGTGTATTGAGCATCCTAGACTGGTTTCTCAGACTATTGCCTTCAAGAGGCCCGTCAGACTCCTTTCCTCTTCTAGAGAGTTTGCAGGAACATGTTCCTAATCATTTCCTTCTATATTGGCTCCTGAGAAGTCCCATTATGAGGGACATGAAGTGATTGGATGATGGATATAGAACAGAGAAACTTTCTAGTAGAAGACTCTTCAACTGTGAGGACTTTATTCTTTTCTTGACTAAGTCTATATAATAATAATAACCACCACAACAACAACAGCCTTGTATCCCACCACGATCTCTGCAAAGCGGCTCAGAGCAGTTTACACATGGCACATGGTGCCTAAAACAGAACATAAAATGAAAACAATTGAAAAATACAATTAAATAAAACATATAAGCATGAAACAACAACTAACACTCTATTAATAACAATGCTCAATACCAATGGGGCAAGTGATCGAACTATGAGTGGGAGAAATGCAGTGCTGTAACTGTAGGATGAGGGCATGGGATAAAGGCTGCACAACAATTGTGCAGATTAACAAGGGACTAGGTATTCTCAAAAGTTTGTTTAAACAGCCAGATCTTCAGGTCCCTATGGAAGGAGGACAACCTTCAACTCAAACAGCTACCAGGGTTTCTAGTATTGAACCAGATGACACTACTCTATATCTGAACAGTTCCCTCAGTTTAAATCATCTTCAAAACTTCTAATCTTTCAATCTGGTTTCTTTGAATTAGTTAAGGTGGAATGGGATTCTCCTGTGATGTGTTGAAAAGGAGTAAATGCCACTCAGAACTTTTATTCTGTAGAACCTGTGGCAATGGAAATGTTGAAGGTGTCCCAGATGGACACTCCTGCCATTGCCTTTTTGGGAGGGGCATCACCTCCAAGGAGATGGATGCCTCTCTTAAAGGAGCCAGATTAGAAACAAATTGATACAGTTCTAAGGAGGGCCACAAACCACTGTGTTACCTTTTTGCATCTGTTCCACTGCTTCCATAGTCTCTTCTGCCTTTATGGTCTGGGCTGGGAATTTAATGTCAGCTCAAAAACCAGACACTCAGTATCTTCATTAGGGTCTATTGAAAGTTCGTATGTTAGTTCAAGAGAAGTGGGAACTTTCTTACCAGCCTAGACCTTATTAGGTATGTCAGCAGTACATCATGTTTAGGAGGTTGAGAATGGCGCCTCCAAACAATTTGGGAAGCCTTCCACTAGGGAGAGTGACATCTATGGATTAACATACAGTAAAGTCTCGCTTATCCAACCTTTGCTCATCCAACATTCTGTATTGACCAATGCAGTCTGTCTCCTGCCTGGATCCACTGCTCTTTCAATACATTGTGATGTTTGGGTGCTAAATTCGTAAATATAGTAATTACTGCATAACATTACCATGTATTGAACTCCTTTTTCTGTTGATTTGTTGTAAAACATGATGTTTTGGTGCTTAGTTTGTAAAATCATACCATAATTTGATGTTTAACAGGCTTTTCCTTAATCCCTCCTTATTATACAACATTTTCGTTTATCCAACGTTCTGCCGGCCCATTTATGTTGGATAAGCGAGACTCTACTGTATGTCCATTTTCAAGTCCTTGTTGATACATCTTATTGTCCAGATTGTGATGTTTGATGTTTTTTAACCTGTTCAAAACATGTTTGGAGGAATTTCTATCCCCTTTTAAGGTTGGTCTTGATTTTTAATTTTTGTATAGGGTACTACCTTTCCAGGAGATTTGACCTATGCTATTGCAGGACTTATCTTTTTGGAATACAAAGCAAGCGCTCAATGGTCAGCTGAACTGTTAGTCATCAACTATCGTGGTGAACTAAAAAGCTACCTTGTAAGGTAAATATACTGTAATATAGTGTCCTCAAAAATATTTCATTGGAAATCCTGCTTTGGTACAATAAGTTCTGCATTCTTTCTTGTGTTTGTCTAGTGTTGGAACAAATCAGAGCTTTCAAGAGAGCCACAGTTTCAGCTTCAGCACCCATTATATACAAGGAATCACAGCAGTAATTTATCATCCAACACACAGGTAATTCTGTTTATTTTTAAAATCATTATTAAGTAGCAACTTGTCATATGCAGTTTAGTAGCATTTAGTAATGAGTGTGGTGATAGCATCTCTTAAAAATATGAAAAGATGAGCTATATTTCTTCCCATAGGTGCAGAATGAGATGCATAAATTGCTTGTATAAATCACTGAAAGTGAAATAAATGGGTTGCAGCATTGCTAACAGTTGGGTCCCATGGGTCCGTCCGTGTCTCTGTCATGTTTATGATCATCCAGAAATATTCATATTTATTTCCTGTCTAAGTTAAAACTATGTTGCCATGATGCATGCAGCATTTCATATTGCTTTCTGAATTCTCATCCTATTGCAATGTTCTTGAAGCATTGACGAACTAAATAGAAAAGCAGTGTGTGTGTGTGTGTGTGTGTGTGTGTTGATCTTTAAAGCGTTTGCAAATACAGTGATGAAATTAATATTATTTAATGTGTTTCTGTTTGGTTTGCAACAGATTTGTTTCTAAATGAGCTTACTTGTAGTTTTGGGGGGTTTGCCCATTGCTCAAATAGTACTGCTAAATACTGATAACCAGAGCTTTCCATTCTCTTAAGATAATGGATGAGAAAGACAGGATAATAGTTTTGAAACTATACTACATAGAGGAATATTTTGCATTGTGATGGAAATATTCCTCACATGTCTAATTCTTTCTTAATAAGGCTGTACTTCCCCATATTGGTGTTTATGGCTGATAGTATGTGTGTAATGTAATACATTTTCTTAGAGAATATGAATGTTTCCCTTCAGAATGGATATTGTTGAATTACTCTGTGCCAAAGAAAGGAAACTGCAGTAATCTTTATAGCCTCCACAAAGAGCATCTGCCTTTTTACTGAAATAAAACAAGGAAGATTGATAAATTGTACTTCTGTAAATGAATGATGCTTGTTTGCTTATAGCATTCTGTGTTTTTTCTATCTGAGAAGGGGATTATGGGATTGGCTGTCTCTATATTGTAGAATGAATACAATTTGACACCATTTTAAACTCTCAAAGGGATACACATTAATTGGTCCTTGCATTGAGGATAATGTTTAAAGTTCTCCCATTTGACTTAGTAAATCAAAGTTATAATGGCAAAATCTCCTCATCCTACCACTGGAATCGTTTATCAATCCCCATACAATGCTATTTAGTAAATCCCTTATATTCTCTCTAATGTAAACAGCCCTTATATTTTATTCACATGGCAAAAAGAGATGTTAGACTTGCCTATTATCCTGGATAATGAATGACTGCCTTCACTAACAGTGACTCCATCAACTGTGATTGCAAACTTTGATTTTCAATACATGGATCTTACAGATGTCATGGCCTTCTGTCAACACACCTGCCAAACTGAAGAATATTTTATGCGTTATAACTAAGGGATGTAAGATGTGCTGAAGTTGCTATGCATCAAAATTGGTTGTGGTATAATATTTTTTTCAAAAATTCATGTTGAAAAAAAATGGTAGTCATAATTCTCTATTCATCTTTGAGAGTAGAGATTTGCTAAAAAAAAATGGCGCAACCAATAGATGAAGATGATGATCAAGATTTCATGGAGACATAATTGGAGGCAGTAGAAAAGATATGGGGACTCACATTTCAAGTTTGGATCTAAGAAATCAATAATTTGTTCTTCAGAGAAGGGATTGGAAAACCTTGAGTATAATGAAATGGCCGTACAGGCGGTTCTCAAGTTACAAACTTATATATGATTCCTATTTACAAATGGGCGAGACAACAGGAAGAGACAGGAAATCTACTCCTGTAAAAATTACTGTGGGAAAAAGGTGTGTTCACTGAAGCTTTATCAATCCTTGTTTCCACGGCGAGTCCCAAATGTTCAAAATCCAATTATCACAGGGACAGAGAGTTGAAATTGTCTTGTTGGGTAATCTGAGCTGTTAGGCTCAAAAATAACTCTCAGTTGGGGTGATGCCACCATAAATATACCAGAGTACCAGTAGTAAACTTACATGTGGTGGGCTGGGATAGGCTTCTATTCCTTAGGATGGTGTAGAATTGCAGAGTCAGAACTTTAGGTTCAAAAATACTTATTTTAGTAAAAGAAATACATTCCTGATAGAAAAGGTCTTGGATCTAACTAGCTTACTAAATCTCATCTTCTAAAGGAGGTAAAAGATAAAAACTCCATTCAGCTACATTTTGCCTAGATAGAGGCAAAGTGTGCATCCTTATAGGAAGAAAGAAAAGCAGAACACCGAAAATGGTGGAGACCACATGGTCAACCCAGGACAGTTTAAACTTAAGAGGAAGTTCCCTCACAAAATTCCATTACTACGTCATCAAAGGGGGAGGAGACAGTGGTTAGAAGGAAGAACAAAGATAAAGCCCTTTAGGGAAAGGACATGCATAGGACTGTGGGGGAAGGAATCCCTCAGCTTAGCCCTGTCTGGCCTAGCTACTCATCGAGGACTTGAACCTTGATCACACAAGAGACTTATGCAGGGATGAAACCTAACACATCTGAACAAGGTGCACAGACAAATGTTACTAGAGTGTTGACCCTTTTCTATGCTATCTAAAAGTTTTTAAAAAAGTACCTATGCCAATATACATACAAATTCAACAAAAGAACGAACCTACAGAAGCTACCTGGGAACTGTGTGTACTTGGTGTGACTGGAGGAGCATAACCCTTTCTTGGTTCACTCCCTTAAGTTACAATACTTGAAATCATGTTGAAATTGCTTTTGTTCCTTTGTTTTAAAACTTTAGACCAGGTCTCCATAACATATGGCCCGTGAGCTGGATGCAGCCTGCAAAGGGTTTCCATGCAGACTACAGAAGTGACTGGTCATCCTCTTCCCAAGGCTTGTGTAGTTGTTGACCAGACAAGTCACACTCTCTCAGCCTCAGAGGAAGACTTTGAATAAATCTTGACACAAAAGTCAATGATAGGGATGCCTTAGGGTTACTGTAAGTCTAAACCACTTGGAGGCAGACCACAACAACAATCCTAATTAGTCATTAATTACACCTTACCTGAAAAGTGAGATGCTAAAAATCTATTTCCCTGCCCCAAGAGACTTAGCCTGTTTAATTTTGCCCCCTCACTACTCCCAAGTTGCAGACCTGCTCTAGACCCTTTAAAGGTCATTCACATATTTTAAGAAAAGCACTTAAAACACACACACACACAGAAATGTGCCCCCATCTATAATGCATTTTGTGGTATTATGTACTTTGAAAGTAACACTTTTGTGCATGTGGCACTTGATGAGAAAGTAATGTGGCTGTCAACAAAATGACAACCTTTTCTTAATAAAGCAATGTCTGCTGGCAAATCTGTTGTGGGTCATACTTGACATGCAGATGATTAAAAAATTGAGCATTTAAACACTTGTAGACAAATGATTGAGGGAGGACAATTTAATGGAAATAAGTTGTTCCTTGACTCGAACAGATTGTTTTGTCTCTGACCAAAGACTGGAAAATCTGTTTTGGAAAAGGAAAGGGTTTTCCTTGATAGATATTAGTAAATTAAGATTATGGAGGCTGATCTAGATGTAATAGCTAAGCATGATGCATGATTTGACACTGCAGAAATGAGCCAGGAGGAATCCGTTCTCTTCCTCTTGCACATTATTTGTAATTTAATCCTCATATGTTTGCAGGTCTTTCTATATACCTGTATATCTGGATCTACATTATTTTTAGATAAACATTCCTCTCACATGTTTGCAAGTCTCTGCAAATACTATATATATATACAGATATTGATAAATATATGGAGGTACCTCCCTCTCCCTCTCTCTGTATGTATATGTGTATATATAAAAATAATTTTATATATTAATTTTCCCCTTACATGTTTGCAAGTTTTTGCAAATCCTATATAGATATAATTATCTCTATATAGAGAGAGGTCTAGATAGATAGATATGAATATAGATGTATAGGGTTAGGTTGTCCCCTGACATTAAGTCCAGTCATGTCTGACTCTGGGGTGTGGTGCTCATCTCCATTTCTAAGCCGAAGAGCCGGCGTTGTCCGTAGACACCTCCAAGGTCATGTGGCCGGCATGACTGCATGGAGCGCCGTTAGATGTATAGAGCTTGCAAATATTGCAGGAGGGAAATGCACATATATAGAGAGAGTATTTGTAAACGTTTCAGGGGGAAATGCCTATGTGAAATTAGTATATATATAAATATAGATCTATATCTAGCTCTGTATTGCTAAACACGGAATGTTTGCCTGTTATTATGTTGGAAGCCAGACAACATGGGGAGATGGGGTGGGATACAAATGAAGTTCTATTATTATTATTATTATTATTATTATTATTATTATTATTATTAAGTTATTGATGATACCATATTGTTTTGTTGACCCTATTTTTCAACTTACAGAGCTAGTTTACTATTTTTCGTTGAAATACGGTAAATATTTAAAATCATTTAACCTACTGATGCCTCACTTAATGTAATTTTATTGGTATCTATTTTTATTTTAAAATTTACCAATACCTCCTGCATTTCTCACCCTCAGCTTATACTCGAGTCAATACGTTTTCCAAGTTTTTTTTAATAATAAAATTAGGTGCCTCGGCTCATATTCAGGTCGGCTTATACTCAAGTATATACGGTATTTCATTCAACACTCCCAGCATTATGCTGATGAGACAAACATCTATTTAAAATGTCTATCCTATTGCTATTATTATTTTATATTTTCATTGGAATAAAACTTCTGTTAAAACTCTCTTTATTGCAGCAGTTAAGCTGTACATGTTTTATTTGTTTTGTTTATATTCCCGAACTTATGCCTATTGTTGCCTTGGCACAAGCTGCACAAATGAGCTGTGGTGATTCTTAACTTTATGTGCTCTCTACTGATTTTCTACATTTTTTTACTCATGAATGGGAAGCTTCTTATCTTCCTCCCTCACACATGAAAGAAAGATGAAAGGGGAAAAAGATCAGGTGTACAGTGTGCCTCGGTTTGTTTT